GATGATAATAAGAGTGATGATAATGGCAGGAATGATATGGTGGATGATGTTAGGAATGATAATGAGATATTAGGTAAATATATGAATAGTAAGATTGCGAATATATTTGGAATGATTGTTGCAGTTCTAGTAACAATGACAGGATGTCTGATGCAGAGCATGCATTTGAATGAGATTGTTGATGGATTGAAAAGTGAAATGGCACTGTAGTAGAGTGGGGGATGATATAATAAACGAATAATTATTAATTGGATATTTATGTAAGTGTGTGAGGTAAAGAATCAAGGAGATGGATATGAATGAATATGTGAATATTTGATTATTGAATGGAATAAAGGAGTGATGAGCAGTGATGTAAAATGATGATGAATACATGAATGGATATGCTGTGTATGGAATGTGTACATGACGTGTAGAAATGTAGTTTGTAGATTATGTGATAATAATAATGATGTTGATAGGAAGAACAATACAGGCACTGTGTATGCATATACATAGTATAGAGGCTCGAAAAAGAGCGAGAAATGGGAATGAGAAGAATGTTACTAGGGCAGACCTAAAAGTAGATCTAAGGTTGATGAAACAGCAACTGGTGGCAATGCAAAACGCAAGTATAAATTTAAACTGTACTTCATAAATACGGAGATAAGAAGATCTATGATTATGACAATAACTTTGTAACTGATGAGATGATTTTAGTGAGCTTAAAAACAAGATTGATGCTAAAGATGTGGTGGGATTGATCTCAGCGGTAATGAACTGGGAAATGGGATTATAGGAATGTATTGTCTTTGTTAGAAAATGCAAAGTTAAAATATGCTAATCTGAGTAACAACAATATCAGTAGTCTTATAGGTATAAGCTGCAATAAGAACAAAAAGACTTTAACAACTGGGGATAGATTGAAAGTGGATATGATTTATTTGCTAAAAGCATACATATATTAAACATAGCACATAATGAATTGACAACAACAAAAAATATTAGCAATAGCAATATGGGCATTCTACATGTATTGTACTTTCAAATAATAATATGGAAAAATTAACAGGAATTCGCGGTATAACTAGTATGATTGTATTAAATCCTAATGCAAATAACATTGGAAATATTGATGAAATATATTATGAAAACAAAAAAGAAATGTACCAAACAGCTATACTTGATATAAGTAACAATTATATTGAAGGCATCAATCCGTTATTTAAGATGACAAAAGAACGAAGTGTTAATGAAAGTGATCAATCAGGCCATGCCTCATGCATCAAATATTTGAAGCTACTGAATGTCAGTAGTAATAAGATATCGAGTTTGCGAGAGAATATGCATGAATATACACCAAAGTTATCAGTTATTAATCTGGGATATAACCAACTCAAAGACAATGATGTTAAGAAAATACTGAATGTTCAAGCATTGGAGGTTTGATTCTCAGAGAAAATCGTGGAGTTACTTTTAATGCATTTGATGATTATTTGGGTGGACATCTGTTGACGCAGATGATTCATTCATTAGATGGTAGCATTAGAAAAATGAAAACTCTCAAAAGGTTAGGTGTACTTGATCTGCGTGATACTGGAGTGAAGCTGTGTAAGGATAATGATGAACATAAACGGTTTATCATAGATGTACTAAGTATGCATTTAATTGAAAAAAGTATTTTGATGATGACCAGTTTGTTGATAAGAATGAGAATTTATTAAATGAGGAATCTATAAAGGAATGGAAAGAAACATTGAATAAGGAATTGAACGATAAATATAATGTGTTAGTGATATCTAGTAAAAACGAAAATCAAACATTATTCAAGAAGAAGAGCAAAGTACAAATAATGAAATAACGGAATTGCAAAGTGAGATAGATAAATAGAACAAGAGATAGGTACAGAAACCGGAGCAACGGTAAGCAGTGAAACTAATAATACGATTTCATTAGTAAATAAAGAAGAATTGAACAAAGTAGAATTTACAAAGAAACTAAAGCATGTTCGACTAAATATATTGCAACAGACAAGTAGTATGCAACAGTTTATGAGAAATATAGAACGGTCAATAATAAAAAGAAAATAGAAAGTTTATGTAAAAATATAAATGATCTACATGAAATAAGAAAAGAAGATAATGAAATAAAAGATGTATGTAATCAAATAAATAATTTACATAACGAAATAACAAATCCAGACGATGGAACGAAGAAGCCATATAATGAAATAGAAGTTATGTAAAATGAAATAATAACTCTAAATGAAATACAAAAGCTAAAGAAGAATTAGATAAAGCCAAAGAAGAATATAGACAACAAGGAAATAAACTTAAGATTTGTTTGGACGGAGAAGAAACAAAATCAACAATAGAGATTGATGATGATGTGTATAAGCAAGTAAAACCGAATACATTGAGTTGTGAATAGAGAATGCATTTAATAATGAACAAAATAAAATAATAGATGGTTATAGCACAGTGATTGATCGCATAGGCCTGAGTAAGACAAATATGGGGAGTATACCATTTGAGCTGTTGGATTGATGTAAAGACAAATCTGTGATTGTGAATGAACTAGATCTGAGTGATAATTATTTGACTTAGTTCGGATTGGAGTATTTGGATATGATTAAATGCAAGAAAGTTACTGTTCGGAACAATTATGGATTGAAGAATTTACCTGCAAGTATTCAGATGATGGAGGAAGTAGAAATGATGGATTTTGAGAACTGTGGATTTACTATGATACCTGAAGCGATATGTGGAATGAAAACTATAGATGAAACTGATACAAGTAGAAAATCCTATAAGAAGTATGTGCTTGTGATGAAAAATTTAACGGCAGTGGATTTAACGGGCAATAATATAGGATGCATTGAAACAAAAGTAGTTAATATGCTGGAAAAGAACACAAAATTGCATGTATGGCTAGATGAGAATGATAAAATAAACAACTATTAAAAAATCTAAATATAGAAGATAGAAGAAACGCCAAGAGCAGATTAAATTTTGTAGAATTTAAAAACAGAAGGAATACAACACAAGAAATGAGGATACATAGCTTCAGGTACAAAATCGAATGAATCGAATAATGATAAGCCAATGCATGAATCAGGTAGTAATGTTTGGTCTGCAAGGATATGAGAAGGAAAATAAATCAGGGGATTGATGTTCAGCAAATGGATAAATCAGAGAATGTCGAAGAAGTCAATGAAGCATTAAATAATACCTAACAATCAGATGTATTGGAGATTGTTGAAGAAATGGATACATCTAGCGCTGCAGAGACATTAGTAGATGTATCGGAAAATGATTATGGTGCAATGGAAAATGAGTCAGAGAATGATCAACATTCGGTTATACATGACACTATAAAACAATTAATTGATGCATTACAAAATGATAAGCTTGTATGAGCAGGTACATCAGATAGTGATAATAAAGTAATGACAGGTGCATCAGATAATGCTCAAAAAATAGATAAATCAAAAAATGATCAAGAAGTACCTATGCATTATTAAAGGATCTTGAAAAATTGGATGAATTACTTAAAGGTTTAAAATAAATCGAATGAATCAGAGAATGCTGAATGCATAGATATATTGAGTTGTATTGAACAAATAATAGATAGAAATACTCAAGAAAATGATGAATCAAATAAAACAAATAAAGCTAAGATTCATGCACTCGCATTAAAGATTGATCAAGAATCTAAAGCTCTGTAATACTCATCTGTGCTAGATATACAAGATAATGATTTTGAATGATTGATCAAATACCAGTTATAAATATCGATAATTTACAAAACAAAGAGTATTTGAAAAAAATAACATGTATTAATAGAACCTTATTTAGTATAATTCATATTATTTAGTAAAATGCCTTACAATGATATTCATCAAAGTAGGATATGCATGAATGCTCTAAAAATTGAATCGAATAGATTACAGGTTGTGTGATGTGGAACAGTGTTTACTGATATCATAATGTAATGTGTACTTGTCCCTATGAGATGAATGCAATGGAAGTCATCAGCTTGTGATGTTTGACTTCAGGTCGTTGATGCACATGGATACTTCTTGTATGTTGTTTTTATCTACTTCTCCTGTTTTTATATCATTCAGTATTTTTTCAAACGCATTCATCATATTGACCAGCTTGTTTACAGACTCACTGAACGTGTTGCTATGCATGGTGTGGGCTATATTTTGTAAATGTTACATAAGATCAAATGTATATATGATATGCATGAATGATTGCAGGTGCATGATTTCATGTCCATAAACATATATATTGGCGTGTGTAAAAAGTATAGATTAGTTGATAACGGATGAACCCATCATGGATTCTCATAATATTACTCAAAATGACAACGATAATATAGAAGAAGTACAGAAATATATTAGTGAAGTAATCTCAAATACACCTAAAGCTATAAATTTTCTTACATATTTTGAAAAAAAACAAAAAAATGAAGTTGAGGATATTATAAGTGTTATTAATAATCCACTTTCTAGCAATACTAAACAATATCAATTGGAAATAAAAATAAAAAAAGACGCCAAACAAATATCTAAAGCATGTTATTATATTTTAAAAGGAAATAAACATACAAAAATAGTTATAGCAACATATATGAGTGAACTTAAAGTAGATCCTAAAGCATCATCATCTCAAAAAATTTTTACACTTCAGGTAAATACCGAACAAAAATTTGATAAGGATGTAATATTCGATTATGTGATTACGAAATATATTCTAGATACGATGAAAATCGAACATAATGATGAAAAATATTTGGAAGCCAAGGAACTACTTAATAGAACAATATCAACTCTTGTTTTATTTACGAATCTTGCTTTATACCAAAAAAATTGTACCAATGATGCATATAATAACTTGAGTTCACCAAAAAATGATGTTTTAGAAAAATATGTTCAAGATGCTTTAAAAGAAATAGCTCAAAACTTCATCAAGAATCACACACTTGAAGCAGACACAGGCATAGAAAAAGTAAAAAAATTTATAGAAACCACAGAGAATGATATGCATAATCGTATACCTGGAATTACGTATATGTATATCTATCATGTTACTAAAAAAAATATAATTGAAAATAACAAAACCAGCTCAATACATATATACTATCATATATTCAACGCATATCTTCAAGAGAAAGATGCTAAAAGCATATATTCAATAATTGGAGATACAAAATTGATTGCTATACCGTTGTACATTTTACTTAATACTATTATTATCGAGTATAATTTTACTGAATTTGTTAAAAATAATGTGAATGTAAAAGATATTGAATGTTTCCAAAACTTAAAACCAGCAATCAAAAATGTATTAGGAAAACAATATGAATCATGCATAGCTGATTGGAATGACTATAACAAAGTAAATTATGGTCTTGAATTCTTTCTAGATAAAAGTGATCCGAAAAATGTAAAAGAATCTAACCTAATTAAATTACTTAAAGAACTAGAAACCACATATCCAGGTCTGATAAGTTTTATGCAAATACAGCTAAAGCCTACCACGGGTCTTACTCCTAAACTTAATAATATTGAAGGTGCAGAAAAGGATAAACTCAAAATAATAATAGACAAAAGTTATCAGCACATTGAAGCAGGAGTTGTAAATGATATCCCAGATATAAAAATTAATGCAGCAACAGGAGAAACCTTTACTAAAAATCTTCAAGAAGCCAAATATTTAGATTTTTTTAAGAGGAATCCTCTGAGTTTTATTATGCTATTCATACTTAGTTATTCATTAATTAAGAATAAAAATAGTGATAATATCTCAGCGAGTGCTTCCAGAAGTTAATCTCTTTCTGAGATAACATAATGAAATAACAGTCAATCAGTTCATTTATCGAATAACAAGCAGAGATGAATAAAACCGAAGTACTTGAATTACTAATTTATACAAGTTTATACATTTTACCTCTGACATTAATGCATTTACTAGTCATTTACTTCTTCAATTCAATATATCTATCAACGACCTTATAAAAGAATTGTGAATAACATATGTTCATACATTATTGATTCATGAACTCTCTAGTGCTTTCCATTCATCTGAATCAAACAATGTCATCAACTCCTTCAGAATCTCATCTCGTCTTTCTCGTAATCTCTCACGGAACCTAATCTCTTCAATCACCTTTTTACCTGCAAGCTCCCAATCCTTACCTTTCTGCTCATCTCCATATTTCACTCCTACAGACACATTGCGTATCCCACCAACCATCTCTGCTGCATCACGCAGTATCATTCCGTTCATCCCTGCTGCTTTCTGTATCTCTCCCCACATCCGTAGTACATACTCTGCAATCATTTCTCGGAACTTGCCTCCTCTCCAGATTCCTCTGAGTATATCAACTATATCTGCTATTCCAATCTCTTCTTCATCTAAAATTTCTCCTGTTTCATCACTTACTACATTTCTTGCTTTATCCACTACTCCACCATCAGCGATCATTCTCAATATCCTTATTCGATCTTCCTCTTTATTCACTTCTTGATTCTTCTCATCAGAGCTATTAATATTCACTTTGAGATTACTATAATCCAGGTTATTAGCACATCGATTTGTACCATCTTCACATTTGCCATTCATATACATGCATAGTCTAGACATCTTGCACACTTCATCAAGCACATATTTCACACTCTTCTCTTTCATCAATCCGCTCATTCCCTCTATCACCCATTTACGCCATTCCTTACCTGCTCCTGCATACCTCTGCATCATCTCTTCAATTCGTTCATCTGCAACTGCTCCAACCATTGCAGGCATGTGTATCCGACTTGTTCCTCTCTCATATGCATTCCGTGCCTTCTCTACTGCTTCCTGTCTTCCCATCATCACACCAACCTCCAACGCATACTTCTGCATCTCACTACTTGCTTTCTCTATGCAATCTCTATCATAACCATTCATTCTCTTTGCATTCTTTTTTGGATTCCAATCACTCTTCCTATTCTCTGATTCATTATTATTCACTCCTTCTACACAAATATTCATTCCTTCTACGATCTTTCCAATTATTTCCCAGATTGCTCGTTCAATCACTTGACGCACCTCCACATCTTCATAAAGTTCTCCCCATACAACAAGAAGTTTACCTACAACTCCCTTAACAACATTATCAGGTGCATTCCTTACTTTATACACCTCTCCTTCCATTTTATTCATACGCAGTCCATCTCCTACTCTATCAGTATCATCAATCATTTTTACTTCATTCAACATCTCAATTCCATTGATTGAAATAAAATCCTGTTCATTTTTCCTATTGTTATCGTTATCTTTCTTCTTATTTTCATTTTCATCTTTATCATTCTTCTTATTGTTATCACTATGGATTTTCTTTTTTTCATCGTTATCATCCTTATGCATTTTCATATCATCATGCTTCTGTTGAATTCCCCATCTCCATGGTCCAGTAATACCCCATAATAACACATCTCGCATTACGGCTCCAACACTCATGTATCCAGCATATGCCAACTCAAACACATCCTCAATAACATTCGCCTGATCAATCTCAGAGTCTCCAGATACCATCAGTGCATTCAGTACTCCTCCATCTGTTTCATAATGCACTCGGAAGTAACCTGCGTATCCTGCATTCAGTTTGTACCGTTGTGTTCTAAGTACTACTCGCTTCTCAGACGTTGAAAGTAATACTGTGTCTATGCTACCGTCTTCCCACATAATACCAACTGGAATTCTCCATAGATGTTTTGCTATATCACATCCTACATCATAATTGTTCTTATCAACCCTTTCATCACTCAATCTATTACTTTTATTCATGCTCTTTCCATTTCCAATATCAACCACTTCATTCACTTTTCTACTTTCATCACTCTTATTATTCACATTCATTACTTCTTCATTCATACGTGAGCTACAATATCTACTCTGTGTCAATACTATTGCTCCATCTTTCTCATACGCATGTACTACTGGATATCCTTCTTGTTCCATCCATTCACGAACCATCTGAGATATCTCTGTTCCAGATGTATCATTGTTACTATCTTCATTAATACCTACGCTATCATTTTCTCTTTTTATACGCTTCCAGCACTCACCAACTGCTTTCCACACTTCACTACCACTCACATTCCCATACTTATGCTTCTTCAGATATATCTTTATGCCATCACGCATAACATCAACACCAACATACTTCTCGACCATCCGTATCACACTTGCTGACTTCCCATACCTCACCGAGTCAAACCGTCCTGCTGCTGATGCTCCACTCATCACCTTATCACGCACTGCTCGTCCATTTCCTTCTTCACGCATGCTGCTTGCAAGTCTGTCCTTGACAAACCTTAATTCCTCATCTGCTCCCCATCCCTCCTGCAGGCACTTCAGCGATGCCCATGTTGCAAATCCTTCGTTAACCCATAACTCATCCCACCATCGTAATGTAACAAGGTTACCAAACCACATGTGTGCAATCTCATGGCTCACTGTCTCACGAATCTGTTGCATATTATCTTCATCTACATCAACTATATTCTTATCTCTATCAATGATGTTATTCTTGTTATTATTATTACTTTGATTCATAACATTCTTCTTATCATCTTTACCATCATTCTTATCTCTATCATCAACACCATTTATATTCTTATCTCCTTCATTTTTATCATTCCTATCATCTTTATCAACATCAGTCATATTCCCATGAACAACATCTTCTGGTGCTGCCATCACTTCAAGATTCTCAGTACGGTACACCACAAGTCCCCAATTCTCCATAGCTCCTGCTCCAAACTCAGGAACACCAACCATGTCAATCTTTGCACTAGATCCACAGCTCACATAACGCATGCCAAGATACTCTCCAAAATACTCCACACTCTTCAACCCAATCTCAAGCGCATACTTCCTGCTCTGCTTATCCGAGACTCCAGTTACGCCATACACTCGCACCCGGATGCCGCTGATACTCACTCCCTCTACATAATCAAGACTTCCTGCAAGTATCGCAACTACGTATGTTGCCATTCGGCATGTGCGCTCAAAATACTCAATCTTACGATCTCCATACTCCTCACGCAACTCATCCACTGCATCTGTATTAGAAAGCACAACCAGTGTCTTTGAAACATCCACACTGATACTGAATGTTGCCTTCATATCAGGTTGATCAAAACATGGAAACATCCTTCGTGCATCACTTGGTTCAAAGTGCGTGCAGTACACACGTGAGCATTGCTGTGTATTTCTATCATTCATATTTGATTCATCTCTCTCAATCCCTGTATTCACAATACTATCATTTGTAATACTGTGATTGTTCGTGCATGCTGTAATGCAATACAACCCACGTAATCCTGTTGAGTATGTTCCACTGAATTGCAATACAATATATGCTGGCCCTTTCACATCCTCTGTAAATACAATCTTTATCTGCTCACGCATATTCAACTGTAAATCTGGTTGTACTGTTCCTACATGATGTATTCCACCAGCAATAAGCTTTACATTTGAAATTTCTAGATCGACTGCATTCAACACAATAGAACGTGTTGCATTCTTGATGTCAATCGCAATCCCAACTGCACCTCCAAATCCTGCATCCATTATCTTGATCCTCAGATCATAGTGTTGTGGAATCACATTGCTATCAAGAACCTCACGATCGTTGACATAAAGAACATCATCAGATCGCAATACATCTTCAGTACTAATGCTATTGATATGACTATTGTTGATCTCATTGTTGTGCTTGTAATGTGTATGTTGTTCATCATGCATATGTTGTACTTGAAATGCCATCACATATCCATAAATGCATCTATTGCTTGCGAATATGTTGTTATTATATCTTGTGATATTAGTTTGACCAAGCATGTATAGCAGGAATACATTCTTGACATACTTTGCCCCTAGCATGGTTTGTTTGTATTGAATGCTTGTTTAATGATGCATAGAATTATAATCAGATTTTGTGATTATGTATGTTATGGACAAGATATGTATTATGCATTACAAATGTGCAATTCAATTTAATCCCGAATGTAATGAGATAGAACATAATGAGGCATAATACAAAGCAATGAAACATCGGCTTGTAAACTTTGCAGTAATAGAATGATGATTTAGTAATCTAATAATATGATGATCTAGTAATCTAGTATTGATCTAGTAATGATGTAGTATAACTTGATATAGAATAACAAAAAATGATGTGTAATGCATTTGTTAATCATTAATGTAACAGAATATATTCTGGAATAAAATGAATTTCAAGAATATTGTGATTAGAACCTGACAGTTACATAACACATAGGTATACAGTCTGATACACATAAAGAATACAATGCACATAAAGTCTCTACAGGTATATTCAAGGAAATATAATGTGATTGATACAGATAACTATAAATGACAAATTGAATTGAACACTCACTTGACGAGTAAATGGCATAATTTGTATCCCTGAAATGTCAGTGATGATTGTGAACGACATTGAGGAGCATGATAAAACAGAAAAGACAGAAGAAGAAGAAGATGCAGAAAGTATGGACAAGTTAAAAGCAATTATATGGCCAACGGAAATGATTGGCATGCTGTTCATGACTTTTACAATAAATGATACTGCTCTACATAGTTATATATGGATGATTCCTACAATAGTGGCACTTGGATTGACACTGGGCTTTGATTCAAGCACAGTTTATTCAAAAGGCAAGAAAGGATGGAAGCAATGGATAGCACTACTATTGAGTGCCATTACGTTTGTAGTATATCTTATTGTGTTCATAATAACGGCTAGTACAGGTTTTAAATATTATGGGTATGCAGCATATTTGATACGATGGCTGGTTCTTGGAAGTCTACTGAGATGGTTGCACACGGTTGATATGTTATATGGGATCTGGAAATGGATACTAGATTTTTTTGAGGGTCTGTGTGAGGGACGTGAGACGATACAGAAGTGTGTGAAGCATGTGTGGTGGCTGGAGCATGTAATGGTGGGGATTGCAGTATTTGGATGTGTGGCAGCAAATTTACTTGCTTTGTATGCAATAAGAAGCGTTTGTGTATCCTTTCATCTGAACTGATTAGGATAGAGCAAACGATGCAATAGTGAAGAAATAAAGAAAGTACAATTGATATGAATAAATTTAATTGATTATGAATGTATGGAGGAGTTTTAATAACAAGATCTGTGAGATTGTAAGAATAATCACAATATGGAAGAGTGTAATGTGAAAAGTGGTGTTGAAGTGTGATGACTTAAAAAGTAGTGTAGAATAATGATGTGAAAATGATGTAGAATAATAACAATGTATAATCATGTAGAATAATCTGAATGATATTAAGAGTGATGATGTAAAAGTGTTATTGGATTTTACAATAAGCATAGAATGAATGGATTTACTGATTGATATATAAGCATATAAAGTGTATGCACGAACAGTGGATTTACTAATGAAATTGAGGATCGGATTGATCAATGGATTATTATTGTATATTGATATAATCTGGAATACATTCAGTTATATCAACACATTAAAATATGCTGAATAACAATTGTATAGTATGATGAAGGAATACTTAAGTATTATATGAATATATGTTATGAATGTTGTATGTGTGATTGAATATTTAGTATGTTCACAAGCATTTGAATAATATTGTATAGAACAACTACAACTCAGTATAAAACAGATATATTCAAATTACGATACAAGGGTATAGAGATGTATAGTAAGCCAAAGACGAAAAAAGGCAGCATTGCAAAAAGTAATAATCAGAAACTAAACAAATATGATGATGAGATAACTAAATTGATTGGAATTCATTATCATAATGAATTCCTTTGTAAAAGACTAGATATGCTTGAAGAATGGATAAATACAGGGCAGGTATTTCTACCGGAGATTTTTGAACTGATGAGTAAATATCATGATAATAATTCCTTTGGTTCTGTTGAAAATTTTAAAAGCTTGGTTCAAAAAACAATTGATTGTTTAGATCAATATTTCACTCTCAAGATCAAGATTCGTAAGTACATCGAGGATGTTGAGGGAAAAAATGTTTGTGAGATCACAAACATTCGTGATGATCTACGCACTATGCTAAATTCATATAAAACATCTAAGGAGGAAAAGAAACGGATTAACCAGTTGAATAATGAATGCGAGAAGTTCTGCAAGCCATTCTTTACTGTGCCTACTGCTGTAAAGATGATGGAATGGATACTTGTATGCATGGTAATTATTCTACTGATTGCATCTTATGTGCTATCCAGTGTATTTGAGATGGATGTCTATGAGATTGTGTATGTTAAGTATGCAGTTGAGGTGATTTGTTCATTGATACCTCTTGCAGCTAGTGCATGGATGATATACAGAATCAACAGATGCATGCACAACGGAATAGATACAAGGGCGGCACTCGTGAAGATAATTCCATTGGTGATAAGTGGAATGTTAACGATGGTTTATGTAGTGAATAGTGTGATGAAGAGATATGTGTTTGATGTAAGCAGTGTAATGATAATGTTTGGGATGGCGTTGATGAGTGTAGTGATGATGAGATACATTGTGAATGAGAAATTATCGATTGTGGACTGGATTGTGAATGTTGTTGCGCTTACACTGGCGATATCTTCACAGATAGACAGGATAGTTCATGCTGAGGACAATGGGGTGATTAATGAGAAGCTGATGAAGATGGTGATAGTTATTGTAGCGATGCTTGTGCTCTTGTGGAATTTGTTGCTGAAGAAGGTGATTATGGGAGATAATTTTAATAGAAAAAAAAATCTTAATATGAATGATCGAGATGAACCGAAACGAAGGGAAAGTCTGATGAAGAGTTTGTTGAATTACCTACTGGTGGTGATGATGGCAGCAATGATAGTTATTGAGACAGGGAATGATTTTGTAGCGGCACAAATCAGGAAGTACATGAATGCAACGAATGTAAATGATGTATCAGTGGTATAATAGTAGTGATAATGATGAATTAGAAGTAGAGTAATCAAGTGAATGGAGGATCATTAGTAGAACAGTTATGATAGATGTGTTTGAAGTAGAGTTACCATGATGTATAAGTAATATAATAACATGAATCTGAAGTAAAATTATCATGACATATCAGTAATATGTGTAATGACGTATCTGAAGTAAAGTTATCATGAAAATAGTTATTTTAGAATGATTAGTCAAATGATTCATGATGTTTATTAAATAATAGATTTTTTGAATATATAAAGTTATGTAAAATGTTGTATGATTCTAGATTATGATTGATAATTTGCAAATGATATGAAAGAATATAGTAAAGATGTATGAAATGGATATATATGAACTTTTCTTTAAATGAATATAATTTAGAATGATTGCGCTTGCATGAATTGCTAGAGTTTATTGTAAATGGGAAATAAACCCAGCTAGTTATTCTTATAGTAATAAAAAATTATACAGCATAGAATGGGTAAATAATGAACGGCATGATCATGCTAAGGCAAATTACAATAATAGTGCATCATTGGGTTCAAGGATTAACAGATCTATTGGATTGATTCAATTGCTAAATGAATACAAAGAGTTTATAAAAAACCTAGTAACACTGAAGAAGGATACCGACTTCAATTGCTTCTGAACAATATGAATTTAAACGCACCAGATTTTGAAATCAGTCATGATGAAATGCAACAGATGTTGAAAGAGTTATTGGATTATGCGTTAGAAAAATTAAATGGCAATACGCCTAAAGAAAAATTGTCGGATGAATTGTTTAACAGATTTAAATCTAGAGATGTGCAATTTAATGAAATGTTAGGAAAGCTGCAGAAAGGAATGCCTAACAATGAGTTGTTAAAGGCTTTAGAATATGAATTGAAGAATATGAGTTCTAGTAAGGAAGTATTGAGATATGGACTGCCTAAGGATGAATTGCTAGAGCATTTGAATACCAAAGAAGAATTTAGTTATGATGATTTGATTGAAGTGCTGAATGAATTGAAGACAATAGAATCTGGAAGGAAATTACTCAATGAAATTCTGGATGAGTTGAAGTATATAGAAGATGCAAAAATATGGATTAACTCATTGTTAGATAGATTGATAAATAGAGAGTCAAGTGATAGTTTTTTAATTGAATTAATGAAGTTGAAAGCTAGAAAAGATCTATTTGATGAGTTAAAGAATGATGTGAGTTATGGAAACGAATTGCTGAATAGAGTGTTGAATTTGAACGAGTCGTTGGGGAACACTGTATCTAGAAATACATTTGTATCTAAATTGACGAGTCAAATTAAATTGAGAAAGGAGCTATTGAATGAATTGCTAGATACACTGGAGAATATGAGATCTAAAGATATAGAATTTATGAAGGAATTATTAAACAATCAGAAATCTAAAAAAGAAATATCGAATAAACTGAGGAATAAATTGTTAGAGGAGTTGAATAATGGATTAGGCAATGCTGAATCTATACAAACTTTGTTAAATAGATTGAACAAAGAGAAGTATGATGAATTATCAAACATAATCAATGTTATCAATATAAAAGACAATGAATTCACTAATGATACGATTAAGAATATAGAAAAGTAGAGACGATCTATTTGAATGGAAATAAGGATTTTGATAAATTGCCAGATGAGTTTCTTGAATTAACTTTGAAGGATCATCCAGAATGTAGTGGAATCATAGACATAAGCGTGTTGGATCGTTGTAAAAGTTTGATGAAAACTGATGAGGAAAAGTCTAACCCAACTGCAACGTATTAAAAGATTTCAATCTAGATGATTTTTTTGAAAATCAAATAAAGCTGGAAGATGAATTAAAAGAAATATTAAATGAAAAAGAATTGCATGGCGAAGAATTAAAGAAGAAACTGAATGAACTACTAGACTCTTGTAATTAATGAATCAAGAACTACATTAAACCGTAATGAATCAATCAAGTAATATGCGTGAATGAATAGATAGATTCTAAACTCTTGGAATTAATTAATCAAAGAAACTAGATAGATTGGTGATTTTATTATGAGTGATAGAGAGTGAGATCGATAAATCATGAATTTATACAATAAACAAGCCAAAATGATGATGAACTCAATGTTCTATTTGAAATAGACAATCACAAAGAGTTATCTTATAAAAATAAATTCTAGATAAGCATAAGATAGATATCATATAATGTTTAACTATATGCAATCAATAGAATAAAATCAAGAATATACTAATTTATTAAACATATTCTAGATATCAAAATCAACTTCTATAATTCTACTATTCTTTTACACATTTACCTTTATGTGTGTTTCACAATTCAATCAATTCAACTCAATTTAATGTATTGATTATTCAAGAATACTCCATATCAATATATATCTACAGCATTTTCTGATCATCTTTATTTCACTCAGTTTGTACTCTACTATTGTTTTATACATGATTTTATACAATCTAATTCCATTATATCATACAATCACACATTACGCATTAAATCACATTATCGCACATCTGATCTAAACTTACATAATCAACTTATTTCCCAATACCTTAATCAATTCCTCATATCCCAACATATCATCACTTCCGTCCTCTGCATCTCCTTTCACTGTGTCTCTACGCATCATTCCCATAGACATCTCAATGTGGCGCAGAGTTTTAGAATTCATCATATTGCGTGCAACGGATCTCTTTACCCTGTGTATCAAATTACATCCAATAAAAAGCTTCTCTAGTGAGCGCATGGATCCCAACTGTTCAGGAAACTCAGTAAAATCATTTCTATCAAGTTTCAACACCTCCAGTCTAACCAGATGTACAAATGAGTCTGGCAATTTACTCAGTTTATTGCGATTCATCCAGAGATCCTGTAGGTTTATAAGCTTTCCAATATCTTCAGGCAGCTCAGATATCTGATTGTTACTTAAATCAAGCCATTCCAGACTCTCTATCTTTACCAACTGTTCAGGAAACTTACTGAAACTATTCAGATTCAATACAAGCTTACTTAGAAATGGCAGATGAACTATGCTATCAGGTAAGAATTCAAGTTTGTTATTCTTAAGATTGATCACCTCCACAATCACAAATCTCGATATTTTCTCAGATAAATACTTCATGCCATTATGCATCATCTGTATCTCATTCATGGTGTGAACATCAGAGGCTTCAAATGCTTCATCAGGCATTTCTGTATATCCCTTGTTGTTGAACCGTGCTATTTTGTATTCATCAAGTCTATTCTTATAAACACCAACTCCATCGATCTCCAATATAAAATCACCAGGTTCTCTGCGTCGTTCCACTGTCCATCTGCATATAAGCGCAAGAATAGGTATTCTACATGATATCCTTGTTAATAATCCACCACTCACACTGCGTGATGAACTCTTCACATCATCTAAACAAGCACTTACACAAAGCATCAAATTCATTGCTGAAACCATCAAAAGGGTAGAAAATCTATTGCATATCAACTTGAATTACACATTCAAATACAATCCAACAGATAAACTTAATAACAACAATTAAAAACAATAAAACAATAAAACATCCACTAACCATTTTATTTTATCACTCAAATTCATGCATCATACAC